GCTAATAGCAATAGGCAGGTTCAAATCTTTTAGCCTGGGGACTAGTCCATGCTCCGAAAATGGCGTCGTGAGCGATTTCCCACAGGGACATACTCCAAGCTTAGCCCACGGAAAGATCGGGACCCTTCTCGTCTGCGCAAAGATAAATGGACCAATGCTTATGTCATTAACTTTACCTGCTCCATATCCAAACTTCACCCACCTTCAATGTGGTACCCGAATAATGAATATCATCCTCCAGATGATGGCAGATACCAGCTTCTCACATCATATCCAAAAGCAGCTCCTCTGAAAGAGTGGAGGCATGATGGACCTATCATACTCCACAGCGGATCACCAGACGCCCTGCGGTAATTCCTTCCACATACCGCAGCTCTGCACCTTTTCTGGAATTTTCATATTTTAAGTTCGCTAAAAAGAACATTTCTGCATTCTCCCTTTATCTATTTTGTATAGTCTCTTAGTAGCTGGTAGGGAGTTATAATATACTCAAGGGAAAGTTGATCATATTACACAGAAGAAATATCATGAAAAGCTAGTATTACTACTATCCCGTTTTCCATTTTGGTGTCTTCTGCTAATCCTCTTGCAGGTTCTTCTTCCCGGTATCCTTCCCGCCTGAAAGCCCAGCTCCGGCTTCGTTCCGGGAGGTTACGGTCAACTAAGAAGATGTGAATTTCATATAAATAAACTCGCTACATAGTTATATAACCAGTCTAATTCTATTCATTTTTATTTAAAGGACAAAATTTCTCTCTCTTCCTCTCACTTATGGAATCTATTAATTTTCATTTTTTATAATTGTTGCAGTATTATAAATAATACGCAGCGAATAGAGTTAGAAGTTTTCGTCTCAGCGTTGCACGAGATATCCAGCACACAAACAGGAGAGAAATAAAAAAAAACCACCAGGATTTTTTACGCCTGTAAGGGAAAAAAAATCATGGGGTCATGCCTAGTTGCAAATAATTTCACTAGTGTTTGCTTAAGAACAAGAGACTGCATTCTGTCCTTAAAATTTAGGATGATTAGATTACAATGACTTCACTTCCAGGATTTGAAATCCAGTGCTACAAACAAGTGTGTTAGTCGAAGCTGAATTCAGAGTCACTTAAGGAATATTCCGCGTCACTTGGAAATCGAGCCAAGAAGTTCCCGACGTCACCTTTGGAAAATTAGGCGAAATTCCGACCTCACTTGGAATGTCAGGCAGAATTTCCGGTTTTATCATTTGTCATTTGTGGGCACAGAATTTCAAGCAGTCACTTGTGCCGGGCAGAATTCCGGCTGTTCACATTGAGCGCCGTGAAAGCAAAATTCTACGGTGTCGGGGAGGAGTTTATTCCCTCCTTTCCATCTCTTGCTTCTTTTCTTGCTTTGGGCTCTCACCACCTCTCAAGTGAAAGGTGCTATTTAGAAAGTTTTGTTTGAGGAATTGCATGACCCTAAAATAGGAATGAATCAAGTGCAAAGGTGAGATGGTTCGGATGGCATGGCCGATATTGAACCATATCGTGGATACGTTTATCAAAACATTGAAGGTTCTGAACAATATCGGAATTCAAACATTCTTGGGGCTCGGTTTGGATTTTTCTCGTCGCCGCTCGATTGACTATAAGCTCGTCATTTGGGTGACCAAATACGTCGTAATCTCAAATGTGTGGTGTATGAAACTATCCAACATTCGCTTCGAGACTTCTGATTAAGGACTGCATTTGGCGCTCAATCGCAGAGTTGAATTTGGTGTCGTTGGGTATCATATTTCTCGAGACGCTAATCTTGGACTATAAGTTTCTGGAAATCCTGAGTGCAGGTGATCCCAGCGTTTAATTTTTTAGAAGCTTCTGCGATTGATTTTGCCTCGAGATTTTACGCGCTCGTTGCTGAATCTAAGATAATTTTATTTGATTGATATATCACAATATATTTTATATTCAAATGTGCAAACAAACTTTTTGAATTCAGTAATTAATATTGTCTCATAATAATCACATAATTATAGGCTTTCTATTGATTTCATTCAAGTTATTTAGAAAAAAAAAAACTAATTTTGATTTATATAAAAAAATTAATTAATAAAACACAATTTTACTTTATTAATTTTTGTTGATTTAATGAACATTGTAATTAGAGATTTATCGGAGCAATTCCTTGTTTTATTTTAAGTCGTTGTAACTATTTGTATTTCATATATAATATATGTGCGGATAATATTGATGTTGGCAAAGCCGATCTCTATAAAATTCTGCTGAATTTATGGGAAGCAAAGACATTAGGATACATTTAATGCCTTTAATGAAAAATCTTCATCTAAAAAAAAAAAAAAAGAATTTCATCCTAAAGACTTGTATTTGGAAATGACTTCTTAATGCTTTTTTATGAGCTTTTCTTATTCTAAAAAAGTTTGAATAAATTTTTTTTTTACTAAAACTGTTTTAAAAAACAGCAAGAAAGTCATCCCAAACGAAAACCTATGTTATAAAGTTTTCATAAAAAATGCTACATTTAAAAAAATTTATTGTGTCACTATCATAACGTAATAAGACGTGTAAATTTAGTTGAATTTCAACTATTCATGACATATTAATAAAAAGAAATTGTGATATATAATCATTATATTCTGAATAACCAGAAAAACGTAATATGAGATTAATACAATCTCAATTATTAAATAATTTCACAAGTATAATCATAACAAAAAAAAAAAACTATTGTGAATGTATAAGAAGTCTATTAGTATTTTCTTAATAAGATAGTTGTTATGTCTTGGTCAATTTATTTTTATTTGTAATTTAGTTTAATCTCAACAAAGGGATAAAATTTGATGCATGAAATCACCAACATGCTTTAAATAAAAATAATTCTCATACTAATATAAAATTGTATCAAGCATTGTTAGATCATTGGAAGAGAAAGAGCTTCAAGATTTTCTTGTTCTATTGCGAAGAACAACTTTTGAAGAGGGACAGGGAGAGGAGGAGTGTTTGTAGCTTTATCATTCATCTTTGGAGCTTATTATAAGAGCTCTTTTTTACAGCACTCTACCACCTCTCTTTTATAATACTATGATGCATATACATGTAGCTAGTGAACAACTATTTTAAAAAACCGGACCAATACACAACAATCTCCATATTTCGGTCAGATTTTATGATCAAATAAAGAAACCATTTGTTCACAAGAAACCCTCTCTTGCAGTGATACTGACTTGACTTTCCTGCACTAACCCCAACAAACATGCTGAATCGAGGCCTAATTCAGATGCTCGAGGCCCAACCCCTTCATTGTAATGCATTCAGATCTAGCGGCTCCAACTTGCTCTTCCTATCGCGCATTCTAACTCACAAAGCATCTGCACTAGTCGTTGCTTCCTCCCGTGATCCCAAAAACACCCTGTGCCTTGTGCATTGCCTCAACTCTTGCCGTACTTCTAGTCCAACATGTCGCTCTTTCGCAGCCCTCACTCTAGCAATGAGCACACTCTGGCTCATTAGTCTTCCCTGGGCACCCATGTTCTCTCTTACTCGTGACTTCCCACGAGCCACCAATCCCATTTCGAGTACGCGGCCAACATGCCTCCCCAAGGTTCTTGATCTTTCTAGTTTTAATCTACTATGACACACAATAACCAAATTACCCTGCTTGCCGATTTGCACGCGTTCCTACCTGGAGGCTCCACCTCAAAAGATGTAAACATGAACTGTATCAATAAAAAGGATCTTGAATCCGCGACGGTCAACCTCTCACACTCGGACAACCCGCCTCTCTACAGCCTCCTCATGCTTCCTTCTTGTACATGGTATCAACCTGCATCTTGCATAACTCCTTACGTGATCAAGCTAGCCCGTCTTGTGTGTCTTTGACTCCGATCTACATGGCACCAGTCCTCTCTGAACACATGTAAAAAGCCCGCGATGCCAGACTGCGCCTCGCACTCTGCACGGCCTTGCATGTGTAATCGACCTGCATATGCGCCTTGCGCGCGTCTTGCATGCCCATGAATCGAACCCGCCTACTCACTCGCACTGCCTGGCTTTGAATACACTTCCTGCATGGTATGAACTGAACTATACTACAACCACCGCACACGAGCGACAAATCCTGCTGAGGAACCCCCTCAAGCAACATCTCCATCTCCCTAATCTCGTGAAGCTGGCACAGTTCCCACGCCTCGCCGATGTCGTAATTGCGCAAGAACACCTGAGGTAGTGACACCGCCTTCATTTTTGTTTATCAGGGAAACCAAGCACCCTTGCATAACATCTCCTCCTTTCTTTCTTGGACCAGAAACTTCCCTCTCATTGATTGTCTCCACTATGCTCTGATACCACTTGTTAGATCTTGGAAGAGAAAGAGCTTCTAGATTTCCTTGTTTTGTTGCAATAACAACTTTCCTAAGAAAGAGAGGGAGAGAGGGAGAGCTTTATTCATTCATCTTGGAGCTTATTACAAGAGGTTCTCTTCTTACAGCACTCCAAACTTCTATATTTATAACACTAGGAGGATACAATGAATGCTAGGAACAACTATCATAAAATCTGAGCAATACATAACAAAGATAAAAATAATCGACTACATTTTGGCACTCATTGTGGAATCTCTATAAGGAATATGATGAGAACACTTTTGTAATGGTGTTTAGAATTAGTTTGTAGAGTTGATGCTAATAAATGAGGTCAATTTTCTTTTTGTTTAAGAAGACAAAGCTTTAAGCTTTTTTTTTTTCTACAAACATAGTAGGCCAAGAAGCTATTTCTGAAAAATAATCTTATCAAATTCTTTGATTTTTCTTTAAGGATAAATTTATTGAAAACCGAACTAATAATGTTTATCTAATATATTTTTATATGAATGTCTTGATTGGCTAGACAAAGCACAAGCTGATGAATTGTAGCTCAAATAAACTTGAAAATGAAGAGCTTCAATGTTATAAAAATTCTTCATAGTACTATTATCATCGTAGATGCCCAAATAATTTCTCAAGACAAATATGATAAATAAATATTCAGCTAGCGCACAACGATTTCAACCTAAGCCAAGCCTCCGCCACCATGGCCGACGCTCCCCGGTCACCACCTCGATCCCGCCTAGGCCGTGCAGCAGCGTCAAGAGCCGTCGGGTCCCTGCTCAAATGGATCCGAGCCCAACGAAATTCTAATAACATCGCCGCCGCTGGCCACGACGATTCCATCTACCTTATCCTCACCCTCACCAAAACCCCACACAAGGTCCACTCCAAACCCTACCGCATTCCCCTTCCACATCCTATTCACGACCCTTCTACTGTCTCTCTCATTCTCGACGATCGCCCGAACTCCCTCCTCACCCTCTCCGCCGCTCGCGACCTCGTCCGCTCTCTCTCCATCCCTATCTCACAAATCCTCTCCCTCTCCGATCTCCGCTCTGGAATCCTTCCCGGCGGTGAACTTCTATTTGTGGACCGCCGCATCGCTAGGCTTCTACGTAGCTTTGACAAGAAGGGGAAGAACAAGAAGAGTAAGAGGAGTATGCCTGTGGAGGTAGATTTCACGCGGAAGGTGTGGCCGGAATATGTGAGACGAGTGTGCTTCTCGACGGTGCTTAATCTCGGCTCCGGTACGTGCTGCGGCATTAGGGTGGGGAGAGCGTCGCAGGGAAGCGATGAGATTGTTGACAATTTGATGGCGGCGGTGGATGGGGCGGTCCAGAATGTTCCACGGAAGTGGTCGAGTGTAAAGGGTTTCCATCTCAAAACATCGGAATCGCTGGCTTTGCCGATTTATGAGAAGAGTAATTGGCCTCAAAAGAAGCTGGGTGATGATGACAATGATAACGATGAGGATAGTGTAGAAGAAGAAAGAGTGGAGGATGAAAAACATAGAAAGACAAAGAGGAGGGCTGAGGGAGCTACCGGGAAGAGAGCAAGGGATGAGAGTGAGTCGGGTGGTGGAGAGGTCAGAAAGATCAAAAAGAAGATTTTGGGATATGGCGCTGGCAGATAAATGTCTCTTGAAAGAAAAATTTCTTTCAGTAAATTTGGGTTGCAATTCATTTGGGAGAGGTTAAGAGAAGGCGTTCCACTTGTGCTCATCTTCTGCAGGTTCTGTTACTTATTTTTTGTTCTGATAGTTTCTTCTAGTTGAGTGTTTTAATTTCTTGTCTTATTGGAGATGATTTTGCTACTTCTCTGTGTTTCCACTGTCATTTCAAGCGTTATATAAACTTTGTATAATGTCATTGAAGAATAGAAATAATTTTCCGATTACTTTTTTAGACTCAATTTATGATATTTGTCAGTAACACACATTTCTTTTCTTTTTAATTTCTAAGTTCTTTGTGTGAACTTTATGAGTTATAATTGGAATGACATATCAAAGGACCAAACTTGTTCAAGTTTTAAAACCCTTTCTACAAAGTATCTCTAACAACTAGGTTGCAACTCAGTATGTTCATTTCCATCATATTTTATACCATATCTGACCTGAATTAGATCAGAACCGAATTTGATTCAAATTGCTTCAATTCTCAGGTTCAAATTTATACTACCTGCTATTTGCTTAAACAAAATAAACGATTAAAGTTGAAGAACAAAAATATGGATCATAATTTGGCTATGAAATACCAATATGTAGATTGCCTACATAAAATTATGCTCTTTTGAATTTAATAGAAATGATAATATGACCATCAATCATTCATTCAAAATCAAAATTATAGAGACATGATTAAAATCCATTTCATAATTGAGTAGAAATAAATTTTAGCCATCTTTATATTAAATTAAAAAAATGCAACTTTTGTATACTTCATTTGGTCATCATCTTGAACATAACAAAAACTAATAATATGCAACTATTAACCACTTAATTTCTTATTTACTCATATCACCTGTCCAAATTTTAAACTTCTACATCAGATTCAATTTAGTTCTAGGTTATTTGATTGTCACAATTGAGAACTGACTTGTTAAATTGGTTTTAAGCATTTTAAGAACCAATATCAAATTGACTTGTATCAAAACCAAACCAAATTAATCATCTTGGTTTGGTTTAGATTATTTCTTTGAATCTTCAAATATTTGCACATTCCTATTAACAACTTTGTGCCTAAAGTGGGAACTAGACAATGAGGGGCTTTTTCTAGGACCATAGTCCCTGTGATGCATGATTTTGTAAATATGCTCCACTTTAGAAGAATAAAGGGTCTATTCATTTAATTTTTTTTAATATAACATCTCATGAAGGCTTTTTTTGGCACCACCTTTTTTTTTTTAATTTCCAAATTGTATAAGAGCTACTTTATAGGGCATAATTTTTAGGCAAATAATAAAAAAGGTAGGGAAAAAATTATAAAAAAGTTTCATTCAAACAACACTCACCTTCCTTATAATAACTTATCCTATTAGAAAGTAGGTTTATTGGTGAACCAAAGGAGTATTGATACTAGTTTTGTTTATCAAATTTTGCTCTCGTCGAAGTTCTTATGATTACCCACTATAGATGATTATTTTCCATTGTTCGCCCTTATCTAAGTTACTGTTGACCTATGACTGTCGGCCAAACCAAAAACCTACATTCAGACAAAGCCATTAACCCCATAGCTCTAACTGAAACCACACAACCCACGGCACTTAACTTCTCATTCCACCTCAGCCACGATCGATCCTATAACCGCCCACGATCGCACTCCTCTCGGCAGAAACTGCTCCTCACGACTCAAAATAAAAAAACTCTCCCTCATTTTCTCTCACACTCTGAGAAGCGCGCTCACAGAAACTCTCTCACGCTCTCATACACGCACAGAGACGCTCTCAAAAGGAGAAGAAATTATAAGCAAGAGGTTTTTGGAAGACTCACGGGGAACGAATCGTCAAGCACGTCGATCTCGCTGGACTCGCCATCCCTCCCTTCGACGTCTGCCTTTCCCCATCTGAACTCCAGCAAGCCGTCATCCTCTGTCTTCTACAAGCCCGACGTCCATTTTAGTATCCCGCTTCGATTCACCGGCCGATCCCAATCCGATACAAGACTCCACCCATTTCGACTGCCTTCTAGTCTTGATTGCAACCGTGCCCTAGCCGACCCTCACCGCATACTCCGTCCAAAATCTCGCCGACTCCAGCCAAACTCCGGCCGCCATCTCCTCTTGCAAAGCCGACGCCATCCGATCTAGCTTGCGCCTATAGGAAACCAGAACTCAGATCAAAAAGTCCTCACAAAATGAGGGCGAAATCTCTGGGTAGTGTCTTATCTAAAACCCAATCTGCCTTCTGAAAATTCCCCCGGAACCTAATCCCGTTAAAACTCTCTGCCGTCATTGTCTCACAAACACTTAATAGAAAAATAGACGTATGGCGTGGAGAGGCCGGGATCAACAAACATAAAATGGAATTTTTCGGAGCCCACAGTTACCTAATTTTGAAATTAGGTCGAGCAACAATCCAGATTAGGCAACTTTGTTCTCATCTCTTGAGTTGGGTTTCACGTAGATACTACTAGGATTTGCTATATATTGACAAGTCATTGTCTATATTAAGGCGCCCTTTGTAATAAGTGAGTAGCTTGCTGTGATTGGATGAACTTCTAGTTTTTGTATGATACTTCTTGATGGAACTCTGAAGGATAGTTTATAAACCTTTGGTTGTCCTTCCTATGCCAAAGCTTGATCAATCTGGTTAACATTCCAAGCCCACTTCTACCCAAATTTTCATTTTCCCTCCAAAATTAAAAAATACATTAAGTATTCTACAAATTCCCAAAAAACTCCCAAAATATAGAGTAGATTCTTCAATCATGGTAGGAAGGAACCCCAATACTCATTTTGTTTAAATCGCCTTAAGGTTGGGCAAAAATTATCAAAATAATCCTTTTTTTTTTTGGGAAAATTTAAGGCCTAGGCCCATTTCATTCCAGCAAAAAGAATACAATAATAAAATTAACTACTACCACAACTTGCCAGTAGTAGTTATCCAAAACTATCAGCTAAAAAAGGCTGCTAAACAAAGATAAAACCTCTTACATTCTATCAGCATAGCTGCAAAAATACAAAAGAAAAACTGTAATTCTAAATATTAATAGAGCCTATCAGACAGTCTTATCCTGCAGAATACTGTGAAATGCGCACTGTTGAGACAAAATTGGCGTACGTTATACGGGTGTGAACCGTCAAAAAAGAGCTCCCAAGCCTTAGAAACACCTGGACTCAGATATAATATATCAGGATTTGAAGCATACAAAATTCCCTGGTTGCCCGTAGATCTTCCAAGGGAAAAAACAAAAATTTGGGAGCATCATCATCGTCCAGGAGGCTTCAGACAACGATCTGGGGCAGTTGCAGCATATGGGCCAAAAAATAAATATAGAAGCTGGCACGAAGAGAACCTGCCAACCTACAGTAATTCCATTAAATCCATAGAATTCCCCCATTTTAATGTTTTCTCACATAAGTTTCTCTTTATGATATGCAGCAGAGATGTGTCGCAATTGAAGGAGTTACCAAATCTCCTACCATTCCTCTCTTTCCAAATATGATAAATAGCACAACAAACAGTCACATAAAAGTAATTTTTAACCTTCGCATTGCCTTTGTATTGAACTTTAACCCAATCAAAAACCTGCATAATAGATGGCCTGAAAAGAAAGTATTTCGTTCCAGGTAATAAAGCAGTAAGTATGGAAAAAGTATAAGAGCACTCAAAGAACAGATGTGTGACAGTTTCATTAGAAATCTCCTCTCAAATAATAACCATATGTTTTTAAATTTTTAATTCCAAATTCTTGTATTTTTATTGTAGAAACCAAAAAACAAAAAATTTCCTCTAACTTGAAATATTCAATTTTAGCCCAAAAAATATGAAATTTAGTGGGTTGCCTCCCCTTGACCATATCAACTTTTAAACAAGTCTCAAATCAAAATTCCACCATTTTAATAACTTAGATTTTTCTAAATTATGAAAATGATCTAATATTTTTTTTCTCTAAAAAAATTACTCAATGGGTTAGAAAGTCAATGATTTGGTCAAGAAGAACTATTCAATTTATTCTTAACACTGATATCTACTCTTAGCTCTTTCACGATGACTGTGTTGATATAAAATCACATCTCAATCAAATTTTACCCACCAACCAATTCTATCTTTTAGTCGCCCAACTTGAGTTTTACCTCTAATATCAAGCTACTAAGATCTCTAACTCCCCATATACAATCTCATATTGTAGTCGACCTTCCTATTTTCATCGGCCCTTAGCCCTCAACCCCTAAAATTATATAAAATGCCCCTACAATATAAAAACATATGAATAACCTATAATTTTACAAAATCTATAAAAACGCCGAAAATTTAACACTGGGTCACTTCAAATTTTCAAAGCAACCTTCACTTTATGTATATTTGACCCAAGCTCACAAAGAAGCCAATATTGTATCAATCTAACCAAACAAAACCTAGCACAAAATTTTATACTAGCAAGAGCATGTGTTGTTATCTTTAACAGAGTGGCCAATTTGATAGCGACAACATTTATATTGTGGTTACAACCAAAGTCCAATTTATTCCCTAATATCATGCATTTGAACTTTTGATCCTTCTTGATGATAGCGAACAAAGCCTTTCTTCATCTTGTGTTGGCTTGAAATTGGTTTTTAATCAACTTCCATCCCCCAATCTATGAAGTCTCCTTAGACAAATAAACTCATGGCTATAAACAAGAATTTTCTAGCTAGGTTTGGTCTGCTGCTACCTTCGATACAGTCCATGATTTCCTGAGATTCTGCAATAATAAGATCTTAATCAAGTTTGTTATTCTCCCACAAATTGAACTCCTTCGAGCATGGGAGCAAAGTATCTCCTTTTTGCACTAAGAAAGCCATCGTAGCACAAGTCTGTTTGAGAGCCTACACCACTTGCTTTAATTTAGAGTTCTATCTCTATTAGGAGAGAGAATTGATCATGAGGGCCTGTGTTTATAGAAAACGTTCAAACTAGGAACTTGAAGTCCTCATAAGAGACCAAATTCTCTTGGTCATGCTTTTATCATTGGCTTAATCTTTTACTTGACAGAAATTTGCTCCTCTGCACGAGTTTTTTTCATTCCCAAACTTGAAGTGCTTAACTTTTTAGAACCAATAACCTTTTATTATTCCCACTAGGAAATGTCACAGGCATTATATAGGGATAAGGATTGAACTATTGCCCCCTTTGATGACTATATGTTATGCTTCTATGCGGGTCCAAGTGAAATGGTTAAGTCAAAGACTTGAACGATCATTTTGCAATGTATGTCAATAAGTTATTGTTCATCTAAGTGAGTATGATCCACTGATGTGATATTTTAATGGATAAAAATAAATTCGTGTGGAATTGTTATGGTATGAATAGACAATAGAGGAATGCATCTCAAATATAAATCTTGTAGCAATATTTTATAAAATATCTTGGCTGACACCCTTTGATGCCTCATATTAGATCACCAATGATGAATTCTTATTTGATTTAGAGTCAACACATTCTAAGTCAAAATCACTTCATCGAATATGATTGCCCGGAGAATATGGCCAACATGCTAAATAATGCACTTGTTTGAAAGTGGAAATTTTTAGTGTTTATTGTGATCCAACTTTTTTTTGTGTTTTTTTATTAGTTTTATATAGGTGTACTTTCTTTAGGCATTTTTTTGTATTGTCTTGTATAGCCTTTGCTTTGTGCATTCCTTTATGTCTATATATGGACATAACGGTTATAATATTTGCTAAATGCTAACCCAAGCCAAATAATCAGAATTAAGTTCAGTGTTTCCTTTCCAAGACTTATGCTCTCTCCCTCTCTCTTTCATTTAAGAACTCCTACAAGAATTCCAACAAATTGGTATCAGAGCCTGGTGGAAGTGATCTCAAGGTGGAAGAAGGTTATTATTCAAAAAGGGAAGAAGAGGAGATGATTTGAAGCGGATCGCACGGGCAATGTTGCACAAGGAGATCTCGTTTTTGTAGTCTGTGTCCGCGTGCAGAGAAGAGGCCGAAGCAGATCACATAGAGGCGGATCACGGACGCAGGCTTGAGGGATCAAGCCAACAGAGTGCCTAGGTTAGACGCACGGGTCACGGGAGCACGGGGAAGGGCTGCGTGTGGAGTTGGTGCTGGTCACATGAGGCGGAGCAAAGTGTGCGTGAGACAAGAACCTGCATTCTTTCCTCCTTTTCCATAACTCCGATCCTCACCCCCGAGCACCTGGGTTTAAAGTAATAAAGGCTAGATATAGCCCACAAGCACGTGTAACAACTAAATGTGGGTATTGTTAGTACTCCCAAATAGTGTTGGTGAGCTAGATATAGCCCACAAGCATGTATTTAACGGACGCTTGTGGTTGCCCCAATTCTTCAATTAAATCCTAATACTTAGTTCACAATTGGGTTTTGGTAGATCCTAGTTTTGTGCCAATTTTAGGTTTAGTTTGGGACAACTTTCTTATTACTTTCTAAAGTAACGTTTTAGTATAAAAAATTTTTATTCAAAAATTTTTTGTACTAAAAAATTACTTTAGAAAGTAGTAAGAAAGCTTCCCCAAACGAACCCCTAATCAAAATTTGATAAAATTAGGATATAGAAGATGCAGATATTAAAGGATCTTTACATTGTGTATGGAGGATTTTAGCTTAAAGCTTATTTAAAATCCATTTAAATAGGCGTACTGAACATCCCCTTCAAGTGGTAACTTCAACTTTCTGCTGTTTTGTTTTATGTGCATGCAAAAAAAAATTTCTACACCTCATGATCATGGGACATATAGTTGTTGTTCTAAGATTTTGATACTTAAGACACAAGACTCTTTACATGTATATGGAGTGACTCAGGAAGCAAACTCATATTGAAATGGAGAGATGTGAACTTCAGGTTTATGATCTCGAAGGCTACCCTCAAATTGCAGGCATGCTGTGGTAGGTTGCTACCTTTAATGATAAGAGTTACCTTCTGAACTTCAAGTTTCCTTTTGCTGAACCCAGAAGAAGATTTTACAAATCCCTAAACTTACAAATGGTCCTTCATTGGTTCCAGAAGGGCCGCTTGTATGCCTTTGCCTATAGTACAACACCCCTTCTGCCTTATAACTGAGTTTTCTAACGTTACTGATGGCTCCTGGGCATAGTTTGTATGGGCTTTTTTGGCTTCCTATTTCATGATGTTCAGGCGGCTTCTGTTCGATTTTATTTATATATTCTATTATTCTTGTTGCATTGGAATTTGTATCTGAATTGTATCTTGTTGGATTGTAACTGGGTGGTTTTCTCCCTATATGTCTATTTGGCTTTGTTCTGCGTTTCTTTCTCCTTATTTTGCAGTTTTGATTTTTAGTTCTAGTAGTCATCTGGCTGGTATTGAAATGGTTTCACCTTTGCCTTATATTTGTTTTCTGCCATATGCACTTGCAGGTATTTTCTCTGATCTATTTTATTTGCTTCATTAAATATGTGCACTTGCAGGCATTGAATTTCAATTTTCGTGTAGTCTTTGTGGAGGTTCATACTCATTCAAAAAAAAAAGTCCCTTTTTTCCCAACATAGAGCTGATATTTTTTTGTTCTATATTATTCTTTATGTTATTTTGTCATTTAATTGTTTAAGAAAGAGTTTAGTTCTTTTTTGTTAGGTTAGTGACTAGTAGAGTCATGATAAAATTTTACTTAGGAGTGTAATTGAGTCAAGCTGATTAAATCTCGACTTGATTAATGGCTTGTGAATCAAACTCGATTAGCTGATGAAGCTAAGCTTGAGTCAATCCTTTCTCAACTCGTTAACTTGTTAGGTGGCTTCTATTTAGTGATTTTTAAAAAAATATTACTATAAAATAAAGTTAAAATATGCTAGCATTCAGGATTTTAAGTATAAAGTTAAACAAAAAATTAATAAAAAACAAATCTCTTTTACATATATTTAGCAATTCTTTGTTTTTTTTTCATTATTTTTATTATTTCATTATAATGATTATTTGAATCATAATCATTTTATCTTTCTTTTCATAGTAAATGAGTTGAATAGTGAGCTGGCTTTAACTTGTAGAATAAAGCTCGAACTCGATTAAATAATAAAGCTCAAGTTCAAGTCACAAGGGTGACTTAGGCTTGATTTGACTTGTTTACCCTCCTATTTTCACCAGCCTTTTGGCTTATGGAGTATTACTTTCTTCTAAAATTTTTGCATGATTTTTGTCGTGGCATTTGTTATCGTGTCGCGAAAAAGTCCTGTAGACCTTTGCTCGATACACTGAAATGGTGTGCTTGGTTAACCATGCTTTTGGACAGCATTAAGCTCCTTCATTATTAAGAGTTAGTTTGGTTCTTATTGTAGAGATCTTAAGCAATATCGCACATAGATAATTATTGAACACTATTGAGTTTGTGGTTGTAACTGTGTCATCACTAAGCTTTAGGTGATCTTATCTCTGTTAGCCTCATGAGCCCATATGAGCTCTGGCTTTTGATGATTATAAATAAGCTGAGGAATTTTGGTTTGATTGGTTTTATATGAGTTTGTGCAGGTAATATGTATTCCAACATTATACTTCAAGCACATCAGGACAAAGCTATTGGCTTAGAACATTGTAAGTGTGAGAGCAAAACAAACAAATTATTGAAGTCTGTTAGCAATTAAGAGCAAAGAGATTTTTAAAATCACTAAGGTTTTGTTTGGAATAGTTTTTTTTTTTTTTTAAATAATGTTTTAAGTACAATTTTTTTTTTTTCAAAATTTTTTTTTTCTCAGATGAAACATAAATTTAAGTGCTTTGTTAAGGTAATTAATGTTATAAACATATTTTGTACTAATTTTTCAAGTAAAATATTTTAAAAATATTATATAATGCCTTATTAATATTTCACAAACTTATGTTTTCAAAAGTAGATTAAAATATGAAATGTGATTTTATTTTCATGCTTCTTCTGCAAGCTTTTGTGGGCTTTAGCAAAGTTTAAGGGCCTGTTCAACCCAGAGGATTGTTGGATAATTTCATTATTTATGGACCTGCTCTGGTCTTTGCATACCCATTAGTGGGCTAATTCAAGATCATATTCTGTATTTTGGGCTTAAGCCCTAAACTACCTTTAAGTATTTTCAATATCAAAATGAAATTTGCAAAATATATTTAAATTCATCTTCAAAATAAATTAAATAATTTGAAATTATCCACTGAATATATTTCAAATATATTTTAAAATAAGCTAAGTAGTTTGTTCTTATTCAATTTCTATTATTTTGTAATTGTATTTTTCTAAGCTAAAATGTGAGGCAGTCAAAGCTTTTGCCTACTTAAAAGACTTTTTAATAGCCTACATGTTTGTAGTATGTTGAAGTCATATTTGACCATTACACACCATCAACATTGTAAACCCTCAAAATAGCTAACAAATGCATCTACGGAAGATCGAAGAAATTGTCTTGTGTTGTCTTAGGCTTTATTTGGATCAAATTTTTAATTGCGTGTGTTATAAGAAAATTAGTTAGTAAAAAAAAAATATTTGAAAGATATTTTTTTCATCGCTCTTTAAAATTTTTTACTTTCTAAAGATGTTTTTGAAAAAATATTTGTAAGTTTATGGGGTGTTCTAACAAGGAGCAATTATTACATCCGGTGTCCGAATGTGTTCAGAGACCAATAACCACGCGCCACGTCACCTAAAACTCGGTATTGCTCGGTATACATTCGGACCATTCGGTTTTTGACCGGATGTTATAATTTCTCCCTAACAAGGACCCAACTCCGATTGACTATTAAGGTTTTATTTAAGATAACTTTCTAATGCTTTGTAAAATAGTTTTTTAGTACAAAAATTTTTTGAACTAAAATTTTAAAAATATTTTGTTCTAAAAAATAATTTTAAAAAATAATAAGAAAGTTCTCTCAAACGGAAGCCCAAGTTCATGCTGGCAATGTCTGCTTGTAATTTTTACATTAAATAAAAATAAATGTTTGCAGCTTTTAATAGAAACTATTATATAATGGCCAAGATTATTCTTTAATGTTAGCCTCTTAAGATTAAAATTTTTCATGTAAAATAAATTCAACTTAAAGCAATATCAAAAGCCCCATTAAAAAAAATATATTTTGTCAGCCTTTTTTTTCAAGATAAAAAAATGGTATGCAGACATAATCTAAATAATGTTAGCATAAACTTGGCATCAATCTAAACCTCACATGCATATGTGAATGCTTAAGGGGCACTGGAAATTCCTTTTTTTTTGTTAAAACTTATAAAGGGGCCTACGTATTATTAATTAAAAAGATTATAAGTTCTTGAAGGATTAAATGCTCTCTACAACAAAGAAAGTACAATCATTAAAATAAAACCTAATGAGTCAATGATTCTGTATAATACAAGAACAGAAAAAGAAAAAGATCAGGGAGGCAAGAACCTAACCCTCAAAAAGTGCCCAAACTTAATCTTAATTGGAGTCCCCAAGGAACAAATAAAAACCATCAAAATTCTAGCCAAAGCATGTGTGATCCAAAATGCATCCAACACAAGGAGAAAAGGCTGCAAACCACTTATAAATCAAATAACAAGCAGAAAAACAAAGATTAAAAAATGCCTAAAGGGAGACCAAGCCGAAAGGCCACCTCAAAGATCCACACTCAACATCTCTAGCCAGCAGACGACCTGCAAAAAAACTAAAAGAAAGAGTAAGTGAACTGAACATAAAATTAAAAAAACCAAGAGACGAACAACCAAGCTGACCAAGATAACAACCGATAAGCCAAACAAGACAGCAAATGAAACCTAAACACAATGCGCCAAGCTAACCAAGCCAACTAGCCAACCATGGAGCAAAAAATAATCTATCGGACAATGAAAACAACTGAAACACCAAGCTAACAAAAATAATCAACATGAACATAGCATAAATAATAGATGCTCAACACCAACCATGCACCCCCAAAGAGCCCCAAAGAGCCAACATCATAGATGCTAACCAACCAAACGACACGACAAGGCAAGACCAAAACAGAAGCAGCAAAAGCTCAACATTAGAGCCAACCAAGACGACAAAAAAGAAACCAAAGACCAACCAAAAGAACTAAGCATTAGACTTAGATCTAGTAGTTATGCCAAAAAAATATTTAAAATTCTTCAACAAGCTTCTGTTTTACTTTTCTTGCCTAAAATTTTTGAAAAGCCATCATTTTCAACTTGCACAAAATTCAAATATATGTCATGTAGCAACACATTACATCTACCATCATTAAGTTCCCCATCACAGTAGTTATCACTCGAAAGATCACAAAACCAGTCAAAATGGTCCAAAGGGTCAACAAAGGAAATCACCGGCCATTGTAACCCACCACTCAAATTTATAAACACATCATTAGAAATAATGGAGACCCATAGGTTAATAATAGGGACCCAATTAAAGA